GGCTGACGAGGAGCGGCTGAGGGAGCTGGGGGGGTTCAGTCTGGAGAAGAGGAGGCTGAGAGGAGACCTCATCACTCTCTACAACTGCCTGAAGGTTGTGGTGAGGTTGGGGTCGGTCTCTTCTCCCAAGTTACAAGTGATGGGACAAGAGGAAATGGCCTCAAGTTGTGCCAGGGGAGGTTTAGATTGGATTTTGTGAAAACTTTCTTCACCAAAAGAGTTGTCAAGCGCTGGAACAGGCTGCCCAGGGCAGGGGTGGTGTCACTGTCCCTGGGGGTGTCTGAAAGACGTGTGGATGTGGCGCTGGGGGACATGGTTTAGTGGGGGGCTGGGCAGCACTGGGTTGATAGTTGGACTCAAGGATCTTAAAGGTCTTTTCCAACCTCTGGTTCTAAGCAAAACCCTTTGGTTTGTTTGCATTCCAGGGCTGCTTAGGTAGCTCCCAGACAGGACTTGCAGCCCCGTAGTGCCAGGTACCGTCCCAAGCGTGCAACGCAGAGGCCACCTCTGCCCCAGGAGAGTTGCGGTGTAAATAATGAGGCAGTTCCTATCTCAGAGAAATGACATTCATGTCTCTGCTCCACCAGATGAACAGCAGTGCGATGAGGAAGGTTCCAAAAGCCTTGAGCTTCCCAGCTCCTTGGCAGGAAAGTGGGAAGAAGTTTTCTCCAGCCCAGAGGAAGAGCTGAAACCGAGCGGCAAGAACCGGAGCGGATCGACCTCGCAGCAGAGAATCGCGACGGGCAATGGGCTGAAGCGCTCCGCTCGCCGCGGGAGAGATTTGGCCAAGAAGGACGCTGCCGAGGACGTGGCTGTCGAAGAGGGGCCGTACATCTGCTGCGAGTGCGGGCAGAGCTTCCTGGACAAGCAGCTCTTCGCCGACCACCAGAAAGCGCACGCCAGCGAGGAAGCCTGCACTTCCCTGGAGCACGGAGAAAGCTTCAGGCAGAAATCCAAAACCTCCTCCATGAAAGCCCAAGGATCCTCCCGCTCCAAACCCTCCAAGCGTTCCGATGGGGAGAAGAGTCCCGCGTTCAAGTACGGCTTTGTCAGGCACCAGGTGAACAACATGGTGGAGCGGCCGTACACGTGCTCGCAGTGCAAGGAGAGCTTCAGCCTGGAGGTCAGCCTCATCCTGCACCAGAAGCTCCACATGGGGAAGGGCGACGGGCCGCTGACCTGCACCTACTGCGGGAAGGACTTCCGAGACCTCTCCAAAGCCATCCGCCACCAGCGCATCCACACCGGGGAGAGGCCCTACCAGTGCACCGAGTGCGGGAAGAGCTTCATCCGGCGGGACCACCTGCTCAAGCACTGGCGGGTTCACACTGGGGAGACCCCCTACCAGTGTCCCGTCTGCGGGAAGCACTTCCGTTACAAAGAGTCTCTGAATTGTCACCAGAAGATTCACTCCCGCAACCCCCGGCCCATGGAGGATTTGCAGCACAGCCTGGAGGTGGCGACTCAGGCCGGCCATTTGTGCATGAAGGAGGAAACGAAGGAGTAGCGCCGCGGTGGGGGGCCGGGGCGGAAGGGCTCGCAGTGACTGTAGCGGTCGCGCAGATGGCATGTGCAGCATGATGGGAGGTGAACTTGTATCGCAGCTAATCCACGTGGTCATGCTACAAAGCCCGCTTTGTCCAAGCATCAAAGGAATTCCTCTTAAAAAATAAAAACAAAACTCTGATGGGACGGCCTAGGCACCTCTTCGACCCCACGCTGGGACTTCCATAGTGGCGTAGGCCTTGTGCTAGTGTCCCCGACGCAGGTTTGGATTTTACCTGTAGAGAAAAATCCCGAGCGATGCTCCGGGGTCTGTATTTAGCAGGTGTTCCCCCACCTATCTTTGTGCATATTCAGGAGTGACGAGCTTTCGCTTTCTTTTTTCCCCGCTCGTTGCACCGCAAGGCTGGAAGCACGAGGGAAGGAGGGAGGGAGGGAAGGAAGGAAGGACGGAAGGAAGGATGGAAGGAAGGACGGTGCCATTCCCAGGCGACCGGCCGCCCGCTCCCGTTGCGTTGCCACCCCTCGGACGGCAGCCCCGCGCTGCGAGGCCAGGGCTGGGGCGACGGGAAGAGAGGCGAGGTGGAGACGTGGTGAGGGGCACGGCGCAGGATTTGTCGAAGGCAGAAAAGCGGAGAGGAGAGAGCGGCGAAGAGCAAGGTGAGAAAAAGGAGGTGCAGGAGGAGAGGCCGGGCAGGAGCAGGGCCTGAGGACTGCGGAGCAGG